TATGTTCTCGTCATCAGAGAAGACAAACTCTCACTGTGGAAGTGCATTTTGTAAAGATGCAGACTTTGAGCAAAATAAAATAAAAGTTCACCTCTGTGTGCTTTCTTCCTTTCTTTAAATGTTAAAAGGTTGTTCCAGTCATTTTAAAGTAGAGTTCTGTGGAAAAGTTAGGAACAACTAGTATACGACTGGTTGAACAAAGCTCTTTAATCAGCCTCAGCAAGACTCACAAGCTGGAGGCTGGTCAGAACGCAGCGAAGCCCAAAGTGGATGGTGCTACTCTTAAAGCTGTTCTGTTGCTAATGCTACTTTTTTTTTTTTTTTTTTTTTTTTTACATTTACAGGTTTAACATGTAACTGAAATAAAAGTATGTGGTTATTTACAGGTTTAATAGAAGTATGTGGTTATTTACAGGCAGAAAAGGCAGCAGCATCTCGCTGTAGCACTTCTGGTGCAAACTGGGGTTTATTCTGGAAGGAATGTGACATTTTTGCCAAAAACATGAAATGGAAAATCTGAATAATGAGTTTAAATCATAGCGTATTAAAACATGTTGATGAATGTCTGCACCAAACAAGCTTCATGACACTTTTTTTAATTATGGGACATTTTGGGTCACGGCCTTCAAACCAGAGCTGGTCGGAGAAGAGCCGTGACTCAAAATGTCACTTAATGAAATTCCACAAAGGGAGCTTGTTTGATGCCTTTTGTTTTTGTTTACACTTTTTTTAATAATGTTCTAATATTGACCCAGCAAGGACATTTAATGTGTGTTGAATTGTTTGCGTTTATACTTATTGCTTTGTTTTTCTAAACAAACGCAGTAATTTTGATGGACTTAAGCATTTTTAAGGCAACAATCCACTTCAACCTTGGCTGCATTCAGACTAGCCGTTAGCTCGTCTCTTTGTTTCATAAACTGAGCAGGAATAATAAACAACAGAGTGGTTTTTCTATAGAACCCCGCTGGAAAATGGCCGGATTGTTCCTTTATGCGGACAGGACTCCCAGTCTGAACTCTGCTGGTCTCCAGACTGAATCAAATCTCTTGAAGGCATTTCCACCATGCTTCTCCTCCTCAGAGCAGTCTGTTTGGTGCGTTACACTCTCACCTCCTCCTCCATCCATTTCTTTTATTGATTTTTTATTTTTTTATTGTTTTATTGTTTTATTTGTCTATTCAGGGGGTTATTTTTGGGAAAGCGGACTGTGGCTCGGGCCTGGTCCGCATCCATCGCGGCCTGGACGCACAAACCTCAAAGGAACCCCCGGTCTCGGCGCGAACAGGTGCGCGCGGATTCAGCAGGTTCTCCCCATCTCAGGGCGCGCAGTCCAGCTTGGTCCAAAAGGGTCTGGCCCGGTCCTGGACCTGGACTCGTCTTGATGAGTGAGAACTCTGAGCGTGGATGAGAAGAAATGTGCTTTAAGGGGGACGGAGTGAGGAGACTGCGCCTCCTGCGCGTGCGCATCCCTCAAGCACTTCAGACTCAACAGGACTTTTTATGTTTGTCTGTAAGGGTTGACCAAGGTAAGTGGGGGGGCTACCTGCAGCCGCACTGCTCCACCACCATCTCCTCGTACTGTTTGTACACCACGTTGTTCCCGGAGTCCGTGTACAGGATGCTGATGGGGCTGAGCTTGGTGGGCACGCAGCAGCTGGGCGGGGTGCTGTAGGGGTCCATGGAGTTCATGAGTGTCTGTATGATGGCGTGGTTGGTGGGCTCCAGGTGCGACCTGAGCGGGAAGTCGCACACCCCCTCGCAGTGGTAGGCCTCGTACCCGAGCGGCGCGATGATCCAGTCGTCCCAGCCCAGCTCCTTGAAGTTCACGTGCAGCGGCTTCTTGCTGCACCTGGACTTGGACTTCTTCCCGTGCCTCTTCCCGTGCCGGTTGCCCAGGGCCGTCCTCCTCCGCCGCCTGGGCCCCTCTCCTTTGGCCCTCCGGGTGTGGGCCCCCTTCTCCTCCTCCTTCTCCTCCTCCTTCCGAGATTTAATCTTCTCCTTCATCTCGTTGAACAGGTTCTCCTTCTTCTTGGAGCGCGTGTAGACCACCAGGATGGCCTTGTCCTGCTGGCTCCGGCCGCTCCGGTCCAGACCCAGCTGCCTCAGGTCCACCTCGGTGTCTGCCTGCGTGGCCCTGAGCTGGAAGCAAAGCTGCCTCCCCTGCTGGGAGTGATGGGGAGGATGGTGCGCTCTAAACACGTCCCACGCGTCCAAAACCTCCCAGCCGGATTTAGCGGAGTCCACGGGGTCCAGGGACCTGGAGTCCAGCAGTGCGTCGGAGCGGCAGGGGCGCAGCTGGATGTCGTAGAGACCCCAAGTCCGCGACGTCCCGTGCGCCCTCCTGAACACCCTCAGCTCCGCTCCGACCAGCTCCTCTTCCTCCGACAGGGTGGAGACATCAAACAGATACTTCTGTCTGCGCAGAGGAGAGAGCAGCGGATTGTCTGGAGGGGAAGAGAAGGAAAAATAATTGCAGTCAGATTGAGTTAGGGTGTACAGTGTTCAGAGGGAGGGGGGCGCATTCTGCCACAGAGGCCTTCTCTCTCTCTCTCTCTCCCTCTCTCTCTCTCTCTCTCTCTCTCTGTGTGTGTTTTGTTTTTCAGAAGTCCAAAGTGAAGCTGAAACAAGCTGACAAGTGTGTGTTTAAACAAGATGAATCTTTCTTATCAGGACTTTAATGTAGAATAAAGTTCCTCTGAAGGTTTAGAATAAAAACACTTGAAGCTTCGGAAGGTTTGAACTCATTTTCTGCACAAACGGTTGGAAGATGTGACACTTGTGCACATTTTTCATCTTTATTTCTCTACCTGCCAGACTTTTATTTATTTATTTAAAGCACCAGTTTGTACAAAAACACTTTTCCAATCGAACCAGACCACATGTTGCTTTATATTTTTTTTTCTTTTCATCCACGTTTTAATCAAAACCAGCCTGTTACAATGAACATGGTTTTCATTTTACGCGCTGACAGGCTGATTATTAATTTCCACATTTTGGCAGAGAAGAAACAAACTTTTCCTTCTAGTGAGGAAGAAAAAAGTTAAAAATCCAAACAGCAACCACAACATGAAAAATGTGGTTAGTTTGTCTTTTTTTATATAACTTTTGCAGAAGACTGGGGGGGGGGGGGGTAGTGAAGTGAAAGGTCCTGCCAGACACAAAGGAGCAAACTCACTGTACATTCAGCTGAACTATAAACAATTAATTCTTTCTTCCCCGCTGGAGATCCGGGGCCTGAAAATGTTTCATCACTGCTGGAGTTTCAAATGAGCCCCTGGTGAGTTCAGTTGGGGCTCAACAAAGCTGCTAGAATGCCCAAATGATAGAAGAAGAAAACCGGTTTCAGCTCGTGCTGTCAGAATTTAAAATCTGAATAAGAACATTTTTAAATAATGGAAAAAGTCATCCATCGTTTTTATTGTTTTGGCTTTTTTTTTTTTATATAAAAGTTTGGAGGGAAATTTAACAATAAAATGACAATTAGTTATAACTTTTAATTTAGGAAAATCTTTGTTTTTTTATGCTAAGAATTTTAATAAGTAAAAAAAGCAATTTAAATGAAACAAATAAACGTTTTAAAACAGAGTGCGTCAAAAACGTCAGTGTTTTTATTAAAGGATCTGGTTCTTCATGGAAACACCCCCGTGGCATCATGTGCCCAATTTGCTCCAAAGATATATTTTTTATTTTAAATCCGTCAAATTTTTCCTGTGAAACCTGCAGGAATCGAACAGATTGAAACCTTGTGCTTCATTTCAGAGACATTTTTGCGCGTCTGGTTCGCATTAAAATAAAAACGAACACAAGTTCTCCAAATAATTAGCTGTTCCAAACTTCCATCTTCCTCAATAAAACACTTCCACCTTTTCCATCTCATCTCTCTCTGCCAACCACAATATTCTGCTTTAATGCGCGTGCAGGGAGTCCTGTTAATTATTCTCAAATTGTTTGACAGTGGATTATTGGGTCGGAATGTTAGTTTTTGCATTTGAACGAACATTTTCTTCTTAAAGACTTTAATTTATGCCAAAAGTTTTCAACTGTGTTTGCCTCCTACCCCTTCCAGATAACACTTCTGGTTGTGTTGTAGAATAAATTTTATTTTAATTCCATAAAGTAAAAGTAGCCAAAGAACTCGTGGGCGCACTCGATGCGCAATTGATGCGTAAAAGGCGCACGAGTTGCGGCCTCCAGACTCTGGTTTATGCTGCAAGTTTTAACAACACGGAACACTTTTAGGACCCCCATAAGAGACTCTGAGTCCTAAAGCTGAGAGGAAAAAATGAAAAAATATCATTTTTTTCCCAAAGTGGAGCTCCGCAGTAAAACAAGAAAAATAAAAGCAACACACTTCAGAGATGAGGAAGTGCTCTCTCGTCCCCTCCTCTCCTCTCTTGTCGGGTGTTTTTGGTGATGTGCCCAGTGTGGCCGAGCTGGGTCATTACGGGAGAATAGACAGTGTTTGATATGTTATGACATGAGCACTCAATTAGATCACCGAGTTCAGATCCTCCAGTCAGCCGTTCGATGCCAAGCAGCTCAGAAGGGTCCAGCTCGGGGTCAGAGCCAGTGACACATCACATCAAAATCACCGCAGAGAGGGAGAGAGGCGGACCAGCTCCCACCGCAGAAAATGGACCTTTTTTATTAATGAAAATGTCTGTGAAACAAGACCTTTTTTTTTACCTTAACTCGGGGAAAACCGTGATATTTTAAAAATAAAATATCAAAATAATAAAACTTTAATATTAAAGCATTGGCTATTTTGTGCGCAGCGCAACTTTGCACACATTTTGATATTTCAAATGTAAATAGTGGACTTGTTTTTTGTTTCATTCAGAAGAAAACGCAAATGTTGCTTTTATTTTAACTCGGCCTGCACGATTTCGCGCGCGCGTGTGTGTGAGAGTGTGTTCGGATCAGATTGTGTTTGTTCTGCCGCTCCAATCACTTGTTAACTGACCCAAACACCTGCTTCTCACACCGAGCCGCTCCCCCACCTCACCCCCGGCTCCCTTTGTCTCCATCAGAGCAGCAGGCTGAAGGTTTTAATGAGTGCTACATTTTCTGTTCGGGTTTTAAATTCTTATTTGAAAATCCGACAGGGGCTTTCTTTTATTGTCTTGGTGTTGTAACACTTCTGCTGCTGCGTTCACTGACAGTGATTTACTGCGTTCGTTTGGAGAGCGCCCCAATTAGTGTTTTACAGCCGGGTTCATTTAAGCCTAACAGAACCTAATACTCTGAGAAAGTTTGGCAAGGAAATCATAAAAACTCACTAAAGTCGCAGCCTTCCTGCTCTTACTCAGTACCTCTCTTGATTTCATTCAGTTTTGAGCGCGTAAAGGTGCGTCCGCACGCGTCGGTTGCCTCCTTTGGAGCGTGCGTAAAAAGCAGAGCATGTTGGCCAAGTTCTGCCAAGGGGAGACTATCAGAGGAGCGGGACAGGAGGGGGAGATGTGTCACAGAATTATGCAAGGCTGAGGTCATGGAGCTGGCAGCAAAACTGAAACCAACCTGTTCCTCTGTCCACAAAACTGGTAATGGTGTTCGCAGATTTGGAGGAGCGGAAAAAGGACGCGTTTAGTCCCAGTTTCTCCGCCGCGGAGTACGTCCTGTATATGGACAGCATGTATTCATGCGGGACAACAGCGCCCTTGGGGTCTTGTCTGTGGTGACCGGCGGCGATGAGGTCTTTAAGGAGTTTGGATGACCTTTGGACGCCCGGATGGGAGACCCTGGTCTCCCTGTTCCTCCTCGGCGCAGAGATGAGAGCAGCAGACTGGAAACACGGTACATTCCCAAAGAAAACAAGGCCCAGATAAACCGCCACGACTCGAGATGCGTCCATGGCTGGAAGGTGGCAATAAGCCCTTCTTCTCTTCCTCCTCTCTCTCTCTCTCTCTCTCTCCTCCTCGCGCTCTTGGTGAGGTTCGATTTGGGAGGGGGTCCGCCAGGGCTGGAGGTGGTGCGCGCGTCAGAGTCGGAGAGCTCCTAGTTTTGCGCTCTCCACAAGAAGTGCGCTCTCCGCTCTGGACTCCGCACAAGAGCGGAGGCTGTTGGGCCGAGACAAACACGCCCACATGGTGCTTTAAAGCTTCCCAAACTTCATGGCGCACAGCTCCAGAGACGCGCGCGCCGCAGCCAGCGGCCCGCCAGAGGATTCACGGACAAGAACCAGCTTGAGATCAAGTCAGGCCCAAACATCTGAAAACAGGAAGAGACCGAACCTGACCAAACCACAAGATTCCAGTCAGGGAGAAATAAAACCTCTCCTTGTTTCCGAGGCTCAAACTGAAAGTACGAGTCTTATCAGTCTCTTTACGATTCTGCAGGAACGAGGTGCAAGTGCAGCGAGGTGCCACTCACAGACACTTCTCCTTATCTGAAGCCCGAAGAAGCATCACCCCGGGCCTGATGACGTCAGGCAAACTTTTACGCGCAGATCGTTTGCAGAGAAGTAGCGAGATCATAAAGTTGAGACATTTTAAAAATGCTTTGTCATTTTCCATGTCATGATCATTCGATTTACAGGCACCAGAGATCAACATGTAGGGAGAAACAAAATAAGAGGGCAGGTCAGAGGAGAACCGGTTGTAATACAAAATAACGGAATAAACAGACTCAGGAACACAAATGTCATTAAATAACCTGAACTCTGCTCTGGTTTGAACCGGGCTCATCCTGAGCTTCAGACACGTCACCGCGGACTGAAGGACTCGAGCGCCATCTAGTGGTTATTTATATCCACTACAACAGGGCGCTGATGCAAGGAGCTGGTGATGGTGCGTTCAGGTGACAACCCAAACTGGTGGAGCCTACAGAGCTGTCATGTCACAGTTCGGATTTTTTTATTTTATTATTATTTTATTTCCTCCTGAAACGCAGAATGGATTTTAATGAAATTCTCAGAGAGCATTCTCTGGATGTACATGTAATATGAGGTTCCGCTACGTTTATAAAGGTGATACCTCACAGGTGTTGGCCTCTGGGAAAACTCTTCTGGTGCAGTCATCACAGTGAATGAAGTCAATGTTTGGGCGTTGGGGAACCCCAAGAGTGGGGATTGAGTTAAAACCTGAAACAAACACTAAACCTTGTTCCAGTGTCACTGGTTGTGTTCCCTCTGAAAAATAGTGCAAAACATAAAGTAGGAAAAATTACATTTTCACCATGATGTGGTGTCAAGGTACAATAAATCTCAACAAAATTGAATTTTTACAATATCTACAAGCATCAGACAGGACATTAAATAGGGTGGTAATCACAGCAAGGTTGATGTTTATTGTAAAGCACTGATCTTTTAACCAACTCTGTCTAGAATATCCTCAGCAATTCAATGTCTGCATGTTGCCTTAACAGGAAAACATTTTTGTGGAAATTAATTTGGCCTTCAACTGTTAATGCATCCACTTTATGTGAAAATGTTTGACATTAACGAGTTTTTATTGTTAGCAGGCTTCTCTAAAAGGTGGGGCTGAAGATGGATGGAAGCTGCAGTGAGGAAAATAAGTATTTGAACATCCTGCATCTTTGCAAGTTCTCCCACTTAGAAATCATGGAGGTTCTGAAATGTTCATGTTAGGTGCATGTCCACTGTGAGAGACATAATCTATAAATAAATAAATAAATAAATAAATCCAGAAATCACAATGTATGATTTTTTTAAACAATTTATTTGTATGTTACTGCTGCAAATAAGTATTTGAACACGTGTGAAAATCAATGTTAATATTTGGTACAGTATCTTTGTTTGCAGTTACAGAGGTCAAGTGTTTCCTGTAGTTTGTCACCAGGTTCACTGCAGCAGATTCTGGTCCATTCCTCCACAGATCTTCTCTAGATCAGCCAGGTTTCTGGACTGTTGTTGAGAAACACTGAGTTTGAGCTCCCTCCAAATATTTTCTATAGGGTTTAGGTCTGGAGACTGGCTAGTCCACTCCAGAACCTTGATATGCTTCTTACGAAGCCACTCCTTGGTTCTCCTGGCTGTGAGCTTCGGGTCATTGTGATGTTGGAAGACCCAGCCACGACCCATCTTCAATGCTCTAACTGAGTGTGTGGGGTGGACAGGTGTCTTTATGCAGCTACCGACCTCAAACAGGTGCTTCTAATTTAGAATAATCAGTGGAGTGGAGGTTATAGAGGTGGACTAACAGGTCTTTGAGGACCAGAACTGATTGGCAGGTGTTCAAATACTTATTTGCAGCAGTAACACACAAATAGATTATTAAAAAATCATACATTGTGATTTCTGGATTTATTTATTTTTTTAGATTATGTCTGTCACAGTGGACATGCACCTAACATGAACATTTCAGAGAACTTGCAAAGTCGCAGGGTGATCAAATACTTATTTACCTCACTGTACATTCTAGGACCTGGAACACTTACCATATAAAATGTCTTATTGGTCATATTTGTCTTGCACTTTCCAAAGGTTTCCAGCAATTTATCCATCCCAAAGCATCTAATAGGGCAAAGAGGATTCTCTCATGGAGATCTTCTGTTTTGTAGAGATTGTCAGGAACATCAACTGCCTCTTCAGCATCAGCCAGTGTTGGTCCTTCCCAGTCAATACCAGTCTTCCAGATCTCCCTATGCAAGAGTACAGGTCCTTCTCAAAAAATTAGCATATTGTGATAAAGGTCATTATTTTCCATAATGTAATGATAAAAATGAAACTTTCATATATTTCAGATTCATTGCACACCAACTGAAATATTTCAGGTCTTTAATTGTTTTAATACTGATGATTATGGCATACAGCTCATGAAAACCCAAAATGCCTGTCCCAAAAAATTAGCATATTTCATCCCACCAATGAAAGACAAGTGTTTTTAATATAAAAAACGCCAACCTTCAAATAATCATGTTCAGTTACTCAATACTTGGTCGGGAATCCTTTTGCATGAATGACTGCTTCAATGCGGCGTGGCATGGAGGCAATCAGCCTGTGGCACTGCTGAGGTGTTATGGAGGACCAGGATGCTTCGATAGCGGCCTTAAGCTCATCCAGAGTGTTGGGTCTTGTGTCTCTCAACTTTCTCTTCACAATATCCCACAGGTTCTCTGTGGGGTTCAGGTCAGGAGAGTTGGCAGGCCATATGAGCACAGTAATACCATGGTCAGTAAACCATTTACCAGTGGTTTTGGCACTGTGAGCAGGTGCCAGGTCGTGCTGAAAAATGAAATCTTCATCTCCATAAAGCTTTTCAGCAGATGGAAGCATGAAGTGCTCCAAAATCTCCTGATAGCTAGCTGCACTGACCCTGCACTTGATAAAACACAGTGGACCAACACCAGCAGCTGACATGGCACCCCAGTGACTGTGGAAACTTGACACTGGACCTCAAGCAATGTGAATTCTGTGTCTCTTCTCTTCCTCCAGACTCTGGGACCTTGATTTTCAAAGGAAATGCAAAATTTACTGTAATCAGAGAACATAACTTTGGACCACTCAGCAGCAGTCCCAGGCGAGATGCTTCTGACGCAGTCTCTTGTTCAAGATTGGCTTGACCTGGGGAATGAAGCACCTGTAGCCCATTTCCTGCACACGCCTGTGCACGGTGGCTCTGGATGTTTCTACTCCAGACTCAGTCCACTGCTTCCGCAGGTCCCCCAAGGTCTGGAATCGGCCCTTCTCCACAATCCTCCTCAGGGTCCGGTCACCTCTTCTCGTTGTGCAGCGTTTTCTGCCACACTTTTCCCTTCCCACAGACTTCCCACTGAGGTGCCTTGATACAGCACTCTGGGAACAGCCTATTCGTTCAGCAATTTCTTTCTGTGTCTTACCCTCTTGCTTGAGGGTGTCAATGATGGCCTTCTGGACAGCAGTCAGGTCGGCAGTCTTACCCATGATTGCGGTTCTGAGTAATGAACAAGGCTGGGAGTTTTTAAAAGCCTCAGGAATCTTTTGCAGGTGTTTAGAGTTACGTTGTTGATTCAGATGGTTAGGTTAATAGCTTGTTTAGAGAACCTTTTCAAGATATGCTAATTTTTTGGGACAGGCATTTTGGGTTTTCATGAGCTGTATGCCATAATCATCAGTATTAAAACAATTAAAGACCTGCAATATTTCAGTTGGTGTGCAATGAATCTGAAATATATGAAAGTTTCATTTTTATCATTACAATATGGAAAGTAATGACCTTTATCACAATATGCTAATTTTTTTAGAAGGACCTGTAAATAGCACCTAGAGACCTTTGTTTTTTTTGTTTAGCAGCAACGAATCAACACTTTGCTCGTACAGTATTAGATTGGCCAATATACTCAGGTAAATAATTAGAGTTGTACGAAATACACTGATCAATTTATTTCTGCATATCCAAAAGATCGGTGTGCTTACCTGCTCAATCAGGTTCAGGTTGGGCCCATTATTTGCCCTTCAGCCTACAACTGTTGGGGCGACTTCCTGTGCTCTGTGGAAAGACCATGGTGATCCCAGTCTTTGGGGAAGCATCACATGATGGAGACAAATGAGGTCCAGCTCATATCACATACATTAACTTACATATTCACAAAAACATATTTTTGGCACCAATGGACCCCCGTTATTCTTTTACTTTTATTGGATGTAACTGGGATCCTGTGCAGTTTTGTTCCACATGCACCATGTGGTGCAAATGACAAAGAACTTGAATCCTTGTAGCCACAGGAAGATTTTGGATGGCCTTTTAGCCTTTTCCTGAAAAAATGTCCATTTTCTTTCTACTCCTGATGGTCCTACACTTTCTGTGGTCCATGTTGTTTCACACACGATGCTCAGCAGCACGGTGACAGCTGGGGCGTTACCACCTTTAACTACAAACTGAAGAACATCACTTTCATGCTCTTTCAAACTGACCTCAAACTTCAGCCATCGCTGCAGCTTCAGGAAGTTTCCAAGCTTCAGTAGAACTAGATATTGATTATTCATCATTTGTCAGCATTTCCTCTTAGTTTTGTCAAACTCAAGTAATTTCAGCTGCCCCTCATTAGTCTTTCTTTAATGAAAGGAGACAAAAAACCCGATCGTGTGTATAATAATGTAGTCATGAGACAAAAACATATTTTTGAATGTCAATTTATTCATCCAGTAGTTCACCATACAAAGCTCTGCTCAAAACACTCAGCAACCCTCTCCCTGAACTTGGCTGATATTCTGAGCACTGACAATAAAATGACATAAAACAGGAATGTTTAATTTTATGAAGTCAATTTTATCCATTTTGCTTTTTTTTTTTCCAAAAGTTTTATAAATTTATAATCAAGGTCTAGTCAAATCCTCCCTAGACCTGGCAAAGTCAATCCTCCTTTTTTTTAAGAAATAATTTATCATTTTGCGATGTTTTCAGAGTTTTAAGTTTTTCAATGTTTAAGTTTTTTTTTTCTTTTTCCATCGGTGAAGCAGATTTCAAAATGCACCATCTGTAACACAAAGAGCAGAGTAAGAGCTCATTAGTAATTAGAACATCATCACGTAATAAAAGTCATGAGCACGTCGTGTTCTTAGTGCAGAACTCCCGGGTACAGACCTTAGACGCTGGGAACTCCAGCAGGGGTGGTGGACTTCTGGGCCGCCTCTTTGGCCTGGTGGGCCTGAAGCACAGCAACAGCCTCATCCACCTGAGACACACAGTTCATCAATCACTGCCATTACAAACATGACGACACGGGGCACGTGAACGCATCAGCTGACCTTGGAGCGCAGCGACTCGGGTGATTCCAGCATGTGAAGCAGCTCAGAGTTGTCGATCTCCAGAAGCATACCGGTGATCTTACCCGCCAGGCTGGGGTGCATGTTCTGGATGAGGGGGAACAGACGCTCACCTGAAAGGAAAAGTCATTCACGTAGAACAGGTTAGGACTAAACCAGACCAGGACGAGTGAAGTCACTCTGGACAGGGACTTGTCAACAGGTCCGACTCTGCTGACGTTTACTAACCCAGCATCTGCTTCTGCTCCTGGGGGGGTGCAGCAGCCAACATGGAGGCCGTCAGGGGCTCCTGACCTTGGACATGGACCGCAGGCTGCAGGAGGTTGGAGAGTGTGAGCTTAATGTGACCAACACGACACCTGAACAAGCCGTGTGATCACGTGTACTTTGACACGCATGAGTAAGGTCTGCAGTAAATGTGTCAAACTATTTACTGTTGCAGTCATCAAGTTCTTACTTGCTGCATGGCGACCTGTGGCTGGGATGCCATGTGCTGCTGAGGATTGCGCACACCAGCGGCGTATTTGTACTGGGGCATGGCACGTACTGGGGCGGCAGTGGCCGACGCGCCGGCAGGGCGTTGGCTGAGCGCCTGAGTCGCTGAGGAGAGAACAGTGGACATGGTTACTCAAAACAATCTGCACCGACAGAAGAACCGTAGCAACACCACGTGATCTGCAACTCACGCATGCGCTGGGAAGTCATCATGCGTGGGACCTGGGCGTTGGTGGTAGTGGTGGCGCGGATGGTGTTGAAGGCCTGAGGCCTGGGTGCTGACGGGCGCATAGCGTTTGGCATGTTCTGGAAGTCTGGAAAAGGAGAGCAGCAGAGATGGTTACTAACCATGTTCACTGACGTACACTGCAAACAGATGTTCTAAACCTCTGGAGTTGGTGCTTTAGAGAACTTACGCTGAGGACGCACTCCTTGAGTAGCCCAACGGGGACTGGGGCGGAGCTGGGCCAACTGGTTGGCAGAGTAATACGCAGCACGGTTCTGAGCCTGACAGGACGGAGATCAAGAGTGTTCAACACTTACCATTAAAACCAGTTCACACGTCACTCTGTCCTTCACTGAACGCAAAGTGGTTCTAAGAAGAAGGAGCCAGTTAGCTGAGGTGGAGGCTCACCTGTGGTATGGCAGCCATGAAGTAGCCTGAAGGTGGAGCAGGCTGATACGGGTTGAGCACAGGGTTGGGCACAGCACGCACGGTGGCCATCCTCTGCATGTACTGGTTTGTTAGATGGGCCTGACGCTCCTCCTTCCGCTGGGCCAGGGCCACATACAGAGGCTTAGTAGCCACAATACGCCCATTCATTTCTGTCACAGCTTTGGTGGCCTCCTCCGGGGAGGAGAAACACACGAAGCCAAAGCCCTTACTGCGGCCACCCTCCATCATCACCTGCAACACAAAACTAATTACCGTCAGGTATACAAGCTGCAAATCACAACGTTACGTCTGTTGTCTGCCTAATACAAGCAGCTTTAATGTTGCGAGTCTAAACCTTCTACCTTTGCGCTGGTTATTGTTCCAAACGGAGAGAATTCTTTGCGCAGGCGCTCATCATCCAGACCATCATCCAAGTTTTTCACATATAGATTGACACCCTAGTAGAATAAAAATGATTGATGTCAACACCAGATGAATACTGCACAGCTGCCAATAAATACATTTGACAGGACTTGTATGGAAAATACTTGAGCCAACCATTAATCATTTCATGTGGCCAGTTCTGAAAAACACAACTACAATAATCCAGTTCAACCAGTTAGAACGGCATTTCAGGTTTTCCCACTGCGACATATTGTATCAACTGAAAATAAGAATTTAATGTTTTTTAAACATTGATAGCTGTGTTAGCATGTACATTAGGTCGTAGTTTTGCCCAAGTACTAGATATTATTTCAAACAAACTGGCACACACACACACACAGAGACACACACACACACACACACACACACACACACACACACACACACACA